AAGGAAGGAAGGAAGGAAGGAAGGAAGGAAGGAAGGAAGGAAGGAAGGAAGGAAGGAAGGAAGGAAGGAAGGAAGGAAGGGAAGAGAAAGAGAGAAAGAAAGAAAAGGAGGGAAAGAAAAGGAAAGGAGGGAAAGATGGCAAAGAGATGGAGGGAGGGAGGGAGGGAGGGAGGCTCTCCCACCACCACCCATCAAGCCCCCGCCACCCCCACTTACCCTTACTTACCACTTCAGCGGGGGCTGGGGAAGCCGGTGGTGGGGCTCTCCAGGTGTACCCCGAGCTGCAGCACTTCTACGCGGTCCCGGGGGACCCGGCAGCGGGGCTCTCTGGGCATCCCCCGAGCCACAGCGCTTCTGCACGGGCCCAGGGGACCCGGCGGCATGGCTCTCTGGGCCTCCCCCCGGCCACAGCGCTTCGGCGTGGGGAGCTGGGGGTGGGGCTTGCCACCGCCACCATTTGTGCAGGCTCCTGGGCTGCCGGAGCAGTGCTCTGGTGCGTTCCGGACCCAAAAGACCCCTGATTATTGTTATTATTTTTAAATGTCTAAGGCATGACATACCATCATGAAGAAAGGGGCTTACTATGGTGGAGGACATAGCAGTAAGAAAAGGGTGGGTGTACAATAAATATTGCAATGGACTACAATATTGTCCCTCCTGAGCTCGTCCAAACATCCTTGGAGGCAGGAGTGAGTTGTTGCCACTCTGGACCTTGCAGGGAAGAGCTTTAGGATGGTCAGTGCTGGAAATGCTGCTGACCTGTTAAGAGGGAATGAGGTCCATGGATTTGGCCACCCCTCTAACAATAAGAAATTGGTTTTCTTGTGAATGACAACAGAGGTCCTTTGGGGGCCACCGTGGACACACTGCTTGAGTTCTGGGTGTGGGTTTTCCCTTATGCAGCACTTTTTTGTGCAGGATCTGAAGACTGAATGGCTCCTGGAAACCTGCTTCAAATGCAGAGTGCAGGTGGTTGGACGAGATGACCTGCAAGGTCCCTTCCAACTCCAACATTCTATGATTCTATGAGGTTAGCTAGATCAGAGCCTCTTCTGCAGTTGCTGAGTTCTCTAGTTCATTTATAATAAGGAACAACAGAGCTTAGCATCTGTGAAATGTAGTCAGTTTTCATGGCTTTGTTCTGCTTTGTTCTTCTATATATTGCACTGCTTGCCAATTTTTCAGTTCAGCTCTTTTACATTGTTTCTATATATTATATTTTTAGTGGATTGCTTTCTAATTTTGTAATTCACTGTTGGTCATATGTTCTCTATTGCTCTTATTGCATTGTTTTTAATTACATAAATCCACCTTGAGTCTTTGAAAGGCAGACTATAAATTAAATATATAAATAAATTTCTGTAAATGTTGGGATCCCAAGCATCGAGAATAAATCCACGTTTTAAAGCAAGATTTTATTTCAAAGCATTGGAAGATACTCAAACACGTTCTTTGTTAGAACTGACTACAAACGGTTAGGGCAAGCATAATAAAGGGATTTGAAACAGGTACAGAACCAATGGGTCACTTTCCCGCTGGCGGGTGAACGAAAAAGGTTTTGCGCTCATTCCCTGAGAACCAGGCTATCTCCAGACATAACACAGGTGCAGTTCCCAGGCTCTAAAAGCAACAAGCTGGCAGTGAAGCGAACTCCCCCAATACATCCTCCAGTTGTTTGGCTTAGGCATTACAGCAGAAGAGAATACTAGCGAACAGGCAGGGGGGGGGTGAGCAACTGTACAAAGACACAAATAACACAGAACACCATGGCAGCTTGCTGACATACTGCCCCCTTTCCACAGGTATCTAGAAGCTAGCCCCGATGGAGACAGAAAACTGGACTGTGATGGTCTGATTCAGGAAGCTGGTTTGAGAGAGTAGCCGCGTTAGTCTGTGGTAGAACAGCTCGATTCAAGTCTAGTAGAACCTTGGAGACCAACAAGATATTTTGGGTATAAGCTTTTAAGAGTTGAAGCTCTGATGAAGGGAGCGTTGACTCTTGAAAGCTTATACTCCAAAAAATTTTGTTGGTCTCTAAGGAGCTACTAGACTTGAATCTAGCTGATTCAGGAAGATAATTCTTATGGTCTTATTTCTCACGTTCTGCAGGTGGCAAGGGACAGGGCTGTAAAAAACTGGAAATTTGTGGAGGATCTGGAAGATGCTGTATTGGATTATGGCTCTGGCTATCCCAATGGTAACCTTCAGTCTTTCTGTTTAGCTGGGGAAGGGGTAAATTGTTGTCTTGGCTGTAGCTGTTTTGTTATACTTCTATTCTTGGGTTAAGGGTTTTTTAAAGCATAATATAGGCCCTTTTCACTGCATGCTATCAGCTGCTAAATATTCTCCGCGGCTGTCCATCAGCCCTGTTGATGTGGGTGGCTCTTCTGCCCATTGCTCTGCTCCCACGGAAATGCCCTGAGTTGACTCCTTTATCTCAGCACAGCACTTCCTGTCCCTGAAGCTTAGATGGGGTTCAAGGAGGACATAAAGTGATGTGTAAGAAATACAAACGAAGCAAATGCAAGAACTTGGGGATATCTGCTACCCCCATAGCACTATTTCCCTCCCAGGGATGACAAAAGGAACCTAAGAATCTTGACTGAGACCTGCTCTTGGAAGCAAGGATGTCCGTGAGTGCTAATGTCCCAGAATCCCAAGCTATCTATCTCCCCCCCCCCCTTTCAGATCCCAAGACTAAAGAGTGGCTCGCACAAAGTCTGGACCCTGTCTTTGGTTACCCACAATTTGTACGATTCAGCTGGAGTACTGCTCAGACCATCTTGGAGAACAAAGCTGTGCCTGTTCACTGGTAGGTGGGGAGGCAAGAAGGATGGGGCTTTGGAGTAGTTAATGCAGCTTTGGGTTGGAGGGTGAAGAGACCCTGAAGCTTGCCTTTCAGAGATAGTTTTGCAGATGTTCTGCAAGGCAGCCATTTGAATCTGGGAGCTACAGGGCAGAAAATGTGTGACACAACGGTGTCCTCAGTGTGACTGGCAGTGAGTAAACAGAGAGGCAGGAAAAAAACTGGTGGCCAGAAATTGACTGGTTGAAAGTTTTCGGTTCTGTTTAAGTGGAGGAGCTGGGAGGAATAG